CAGGGGAGGGACAGATTCGGGCCCCCTGGGGCCAAAAGGTATGCACAAAGTCAACACTGATAGCAAAGACGATCGACTTCCCAAGGGTACCTTGCATCCTTGCCCCTTCCACCAATTGGGTCGATCCTCAACCACTTGATAGCCAGCCCCGCTCGAAAAGTTTCGGCATGGGCGTCCTGGGCCCTCTGTATCCTTATCGCGCATCCTTGCTATCACTTTTAACTGTATCCGCTGCCCCCTGGGGTCCCAGGACACCGGCGAGGGGCGGGAATGAGGGAGCAGGGGGGGACAAAGTCTGCTTCATGCGATCGTTTTCTTGTTCACTGTTTTGCCGATCGGCGCGGGCCCTCGCACCCCCCCCTCCCCCCCCCAAATGGAATGGATTTTGGTTGTTTTTGGCGCCTGTTTCGAGCTGGTGGAGTCTCCCCCGTGGGACGCACTAGTGCAAACAGTCGCACTAAGCAGAGGTCTGGAGCCAGACCCCCCCCCCTCCCATTCCCCCCTTCCGCCCAATGTCGAAACGCCGAACAAGAAAACCTTCACCATGCAATTGGTGTCGGCCCTCACTGGGCGCTTCTCTGGAAAAAACAGCAGCGTGAGGAGCTCAGGGCTCGAGCTACACGGTGTTTTGGCCATTCCGTGGGCCGTTCTCGTTTTGATCTCGTGCCGCAGCAGAGGCAGGACGAAGACAGAACGAGGGAGCGGAAGCGGAGACAGCACGAAAACGAGATTCGCTGTTGAGCTCGAGCCCTGGAGGAGTTGCCTCGCCACCCCCGTGCAAAAATTAGCCTGACGAAAGATCCAACCATACGTAGTTGTGAATACCGCAATTGTGAAATGGGGCGGCGGCGCCATGCGCACTGCGCCACGGGGACCTTAGGTGGAGCTCCCTATGGGGCCACGAAACGTGTGAGGGGTGTGCCGAAATGGGGCGGCGCCGCCACGAAACGTGTGAGGGGTGTGCCGAAATTGGGGGTGGAACCGCATGCGAGCGCAGCCACTGGGGCGTTCGGTGGAGCTCCCTATGGGGCCACGAAACGTGTGAGGGGTGTGCCAGAATGAGGGGTGGAACCGCATGCGAGCGCAGCCACTGGGGCCTTCGGTGGAGCTCCCTATGGAGCCACGAAACGTGTGAGGGGTGTGCCGAAATGGGGGGTGGAACCGCATGCGAGCGCAGCCACTGGGGCGTTCGGTGGAGCTCCCTGTGGGGCCACGAAACGTGTGAGGGGTGTGCCGAAAAGAGGGGTGGAACCGCATGCGAGCGCAGACTGGGGCCTTCGGTGGAGCTCTTACGGGGCCACGAAACGTGTGAGGGGTGTGCCGCTGGGGGGGGGGGGGCCACGAAACGCCGCATGCGAGCGCAGCCACTGGGGTTCGGTGGAGCTCCCTATGGGGCCACGAAACGTGTGGGGTGTGCCGAAAAGGGGTTCGCAGCACCGAGCCACGAAACTGCCCACGCTGGGCGCCTTCGGTGGAGCTCCCTATGGGGCCACGAAGCGTGTGAGGGGTGTGCGAGAATGGGGGGTGGAACCGCATGCGAGCGCAGCCACTGGGGCCTTCGGTGGAGCTCCCTATGGGCCACGAAACGTGTGAGGGGTGTGCCGAAATGGGGGGTGGAACCGCATGCGAGCGCAGCCACTGGGGCGTTCGGTGGAGCTCCCTGTGGGGCCACGAAACGTGTGAGGGGTGTGCCGAAAAGAGGGGTGGAACCGCATGCGAGCGCAGACGCTGGGGCCTTCGGTGGAGCTCTCTATGGGGCCACGAAACGAGTGAGGGGTGTGCCGAAATGGGGGGTGGAACCGCATGCGAGCGCAGCCACTGGGGCGTTCGGTGGAGCTCCCTATGGGGCCACGAAACGTGTGAGGGGTGTGCAGAATGGGGGGGGACCGCATGCGAGCGCAGCCACTGGGGCCTTCGGTGGAGCTCCCTATGGGGCCACGAAACGTGTGAGGGGTGTGCCGAAATGGGTGTGGAACCGCATGCGAGCGCAGCCACTGGGGCCTTCGGTGGAGCTCCCTATGGGGCCCACGAAACGTGTGAGGGGTGTGCCAGAATTGGGGTGGAACCGCATGCGAGCGCAGCCACTGGGGCCTTCGGTGGAGCTCTCTATGGGGCCACGAAACGTGTGAGGGGTGTGCCGAAATGGGGGGGGTGGGGGTGGAACCGCATGCGAGCGCAGTCACTGGGGCGTTCGGTGGAGCTCCCTATGGGGCCACGAAACGAGTGAGGGGTGTGCGAGAATGGGGGGTGGAACCACATGCGAGCGCAGCCACTGGGGCGTTCGGTGGAGCTCCCTGTGGGGCCACGAAACGTGTGAGGGGTGTGCCGAAAAGGGGGGTGGAACCGCATGCGAGCGCAGCCACTGGGGCATTCGGTGGAGCTCCCTTTGGGGCCACGAAACGTGTGAGGGTGTGCCGAAAAGGGTGCAGGGGACGCATGCTGATGATGATGATGATGATGATGATGATGATGATGATGATGATGATGATGGTGATGGTGA